AATCAGAACACTAATGTATGCAAGGGCTCTCACTAACAGTATATGTATACTAATTCCCATATCTCTATGCTTCATAGTTATAAAATCTATTAAGTGCAAGTTCTATGTGATTTTGTCATGTGAATGATCTCTCTACTCACTATTAACTAATTTTAATTAACTAATACACAATGTTTAGTAATTTTTCAGATTGACCTATTTCTCTATAGCCCAAACCCCATAACACTCTCAACTTTCTCTTGATGAGTTTGCAAGATTGAGACAATTTTAAATACTTTATTAAACAACTTAATGGAAAATTACATAACAAAGTTTGGGCAAAACGATTACATGACAATACGATTACTCTTTCTCCCAATCCTAGACAATTTAGCTCATACTTGAAAGAAAATAAATAGAAAAAAAAGAAGAAAAAAGAAAAGAAGAAAAGAAGAGGAAAGATCCATGGAAACTAAGATAAAGAAAGACAAAAGCGTTGTTGTAGCTCTGCTCTAGTAGTAACTCTGCGCGCCACCACTTTCCATTGTCTCTCAAGCACTAGAGTAATGTAGGGATTAATCGAATCCAATAATCTCTCTATTGGACCATAGCTTCGCCCCTTGACAAGCTGGATCTCTCTCAACGTGGTGAGTTGAAGTGTGTTTCTGCATCCTTATTTATAGATGTGGCTGACTTGGACGTCAAGTAACTCCTTAATTCGAATTCCCTAAAAAGTAGCTTCCCATGAGGATTAGGATTTATCCTTATGATTAGATTTATCCTCTTTGTTGCCGAATTGTAGGGATTGACAAACTTTGGATCTTATCTTTCAATTTCTGTAGCTTTCCAATCCTTATCCAATGTTGTAACTCTCTTTATATAGAAAATGGTGACTTGGGCTTCAAGAAGTTATTCCTTAGAAAATAGCCTCTGAATAGGATATATGTTTATCTCATAAGCTTGATTTAATCTTCTTGTTAGCAAAAATCATGGGATTTGAAGTGATATGTGCTTATCCTTTATCTTTTGTCCTTTCTTTTCCTTAAGGGTTTTTTTCCTTATGTTTTTCTTTTTGAACTTTCTTTTTGGTTTTTCTGAGGAAGGTTTCTATGTGTATTGACACTTATTTGCTTGGCTTCTTTCACACTAATAGCCTTCAAAACTGTCTCATGTGATAAGATTCAAATCCATAAAAGTTTCCAAACTCATTACCAATGTTGATAAAAAGTAAAGTTTACGTAAAAGCAATAGGGGTGAGAGCAGAAATGTAAAATCGTAAAATATAAACGAAACGTAAAAGTTTACTACCTATAAAAAAAATATCCAACATATATAAAACCAAAACACACCAATATATAAGTCATCACAAATTTAAATTCAAACTCAATGATCATAAACATATTAAAATCAAATTTGCTGATATTTTAAATTTGAAAATTTTTTAAATATTCAAATTATTATATATAAAAAAACCAAAGCAAAAGAGAATAGAAAACGTTGAAAGCAACAGTCTCAAGCCCAGACTATGTCCAATGTAAAATGAGGCTATTATAGAATAAGACAGGCCCAATATGACATAATTTACCAAAAACATGGACGTTTATTTAAGTAAAAATGAGGAATATACACAGATCGTTTATATATTATCGAAGGGTATATACAAGAGACGAGTCACAGGTCTGTGCCTGCATTAATGCAGAAGCAAGGCGTTGGGTTGTTGGTGCTAAAAACGAAAATGAGAATTGGGTTTTTCCTCCTTTTTTTTTCATTACACATATATTAAATGAATGTTTGGCCTTATGAATTGTGAAGAAGACGAAGAAGGATATGATACGATAGGGAATGACATCACAAACGAGAAAGAGAGTTGATGCCCTATGTCGCGCCAAAGATGGCAGTGTCTTTGCTCGATGTTTTGTTTATCCCTTTGTCTTCTCTTTCATTTTCAATTTCGATGGTTCTTTTTTTTTTTCAGTACTGAGTCCACTCGGTAAACTCATCGAGTCAACCGAGTTTATCGAGTTTACCTAGTTTACCGAGTTAACTCAGTGTTCAACCCAAATTTCATTTCAACCGTCGTTCCACCATATTTTTAGACCAAAAAAATATAGAAACTGACGTTTCTACGGGTTGGAACAATGTTTTAACAATAATGCTCGTTACAATTGTTAGCGAGTTTGGTTAAGTCACTTGTCATATTTCCTAGGGCCACTCAACTCGTTTAGTGGCAGATTGGTAGCGACTATTGAAGGAAAAAATTTAGAGTAAAAATAATAGGGTGTTGCAGCGACTATTAGAGAGAGAGAATTCAGAGTAAAAGTCGCTTAGGTCTGCAGCGATTTTTGGAGTGAAAAAGAGAGTAGCACATGATTGTGAAGCTTTTTCAACATCTTATAGCATTCAACAACATAAAAAAAACCTTATATCTGAACACTTGAGAGTTTTCACAAGGTGCAAAGTCTCGAAACTCAAACACTTGGATATCCATGCAAGACCCATATCACTTACCTGAACCTTCTCAAGATGAATTTTAGCTAACCCAGAGTTCAACTTTTCAACCATCTCAGGAGTCATATCCTAATCGTTCAAACATCAAATCAAATTCAAAGCTCGAAGATTTTTCGAACCAATAATGAGTGGCGCAAAGCTTTGGCCGTTAACAAGTTCCTTAAGGCAAATAGATTTCAACGAAGAAGAAGCTATGGCAGGACCTATGAATTCGATGACACCATCTTCAACCCCTCGAAGCCTCTTCACATAGAGTTCTTTGAGGATAGTGTAGTGATCGATGGCGGCTTAAACACCCATGGCTCTGAACATGCATGACCCACACGAAAGTTTCTTTAGATTCTTGCAATTCTTCCCAAGACCCGCCTTACCAAAAGTCGCTAAAATCCATTTTCTCTCTCCAGTATTAGTCGCTACAACCTCCCGTGACTTTTACTCTAAATCTTCTCTTTTCAATAGGACAACGAGTTTGGAGAACTTAGCAAACATGCCACGTGATATAACCAAACTCGCTAGCAGTTATAACGAGTTTGGAAACGTGGCAGATTGACAAATTTTTTTGGCTAACATGGCATTCCAGCAGAATTTTTCAAAAAGGTGACAATACGGTCAATCTCTTGCCATCCTCGTCAAATTTTTAAAAATTTATTCTCAAAACCAAATCAGTCAAACATATTTCTTTCATAATTTTATCAAAGAAATATTTATCATTTTAAATATTAAAGGATATAATTTTATACTATTTTAAGTAAAATAATTATATTTTGATACATATTTATTATTTTTTATATTCTTTCCTTTTTATAATATTCTTTCTTTATCTTTTTTATTAATTTTAGGAGGATAGAGAATATAAAGACCAATAAATATGAGAAACATATTTATCATTTTAAATGACAAAATTGTGTTATTTTAAGTGAAATGACAATATTTTGATATATATATATATATATATATATATATATTTATTATTTTTTATATTTTTTCTTCTCCACAATATTATTTCTTTCTCTATTCTAATTTTGTGGAGTAGAGATAATATAAAAGGCAAATAAAAATATATCAAAACATGATCATTTTACTTAAAATGAAAAAAAATTATATCATTTAAAATAATAAATATTTTTGTCAATAAATATATACCAAACATAATCACTATTGTTTCATTTAAAGCCTATTTGATACATTTTTTTAAACTTAAAGTTATTTTGAAGTTAAAGTAAAAAAAATAACTTAAAAAATAAAACTAAAAACTTTTTGGTAATTATGTAAAGTTGCTTTGAGGGTTTAGAAAGAGTGAAAATAAAATAATTTGTTATTAGGAGAAATTATCAAGATAAGAAGTAAAATTAATAAATATAAATTTAGAACAAAGGTGAAGTTAAAAAAAATTGAAAACTTCAAAAATTAATATATATTTTAGAAAAAACTTCTCTCAGAAGCTTTTAGCTTTTACTTTTTTTATTCATTATATTAAAATATTTTTTATAATAAAAACTTTTATAAAATTATATTTGCCTAAACTTATGGTTATAAGGAAAATAAAAGTTAAAAATAAGACTTCCTAAAAGCTTATAATAACATAAAGTTATGTTTGTTAAAATAATAATATTTTTTCAATGTTATTTGTAAATTTGTTACCTAATTAGTTTATTTTTATTAATATTTCAATAAATAAATTGATTAAATAGGTTCGAGCATCCTTCAATAAATATTAATAGGGGCTCTGCAAATATTAAATATTTAATTAATAATGCTCAAGTCTTTTTAGTGTCTACATCTTTTATTTTTTAAATTAAAAATTATTTATAAGCAGAAAGTAAGTCAAATAAGTTTGAGAAAAGTTTTTTTTTATAATGAAGAAAAAAATTAAAAGTCAAAAGCTTCTATGAGGAATTTTTTTAAATTTTTATCAACTTTTCTTGAATTATATACTTTTTTTTAAATGAAGAACTATAGAATTAAAAAAAGAGATTTTTTTTGAAATATGTGTTTTAAGTAACTCTATGTTTTTAATTTTAACTTATTATTAACTTCTACCTTTAAAAACAAAAATCCAGAAGACTAAAAAACAAATTAAAAAGCAGATGGGCATGCCACGTGTATCTAATTTTTTTATCGGGAAAGGATATCGTAACAACCTAGTTGTGTTACTATTAAGTGACTATCAATTAATTTCACCGTTAGATCGATTATGTTGATCCAACAGTTATATTTATTTTCATCTTTGTATGGTCATGGTTTCCCAAATTTAATACTTTATATTTATTTTCACCTTTGGATGGTTATGATTTTTCATATTTAATGCTTTCACTTTAAATATGAGAAATCGTAACATACAAAGATAAAAATAAATATAACCGTTGGATCAACATAATCGATCTAACGGTGAGATTAATTGGTAGTAAGATAACTTGAGTGAGAATATATATATATTTTTTTAAAAAACAAAATATTGCCCCTTTTCCAAGCCAACACAGCTTTAAAGCATTTGAGAACAAATCCAGAAAATCCAAGTAGAAGTTATAAAGCCCCGTCTTCCTCCTTCGTCCATTTCCCTTAAACCCTAAACCCCTCTTTTTCTCTCTCTCTATCTCTACCAAATGGGAAGCAACCAAGCAGCAGTGTCCTTCCTAAACAACATCGCCCGCGCGGCCTTCGGCTTCGGCGCCGCCGCTACAATCCTCAACTCCTCCCTCTACACCGTCGATGGCGGACAACGCGCCGTCCTCTTCGACCGTTTCCGCGGCATCCTCGACGAAACCGTCGGCGAGGGAACACACTTCCTCATCCCATGGGTCCAAAAGCCTTACATATTCGACATCCGCACGCGCCCACACACCTTCTCCTCAGTCTCCGGCACAAAGGACCTTCAAATGGTGAACCTCACCCTCCGCGTCCTCTCCCGCCCGGACACCGACCGCCTCCCCCTCATCGTACAAAACCTCGGACTCGAGTACGATGAGAAGGTCCTCCCTTCGATCGGCAATGAGGTTCTCAAGGCCGTCGTGGCGCAATTCAACGCCGATCAGCTCCTCACGGAGCGGCCGCAAGTCTCTGCGCTCGTTCGCGAGAGCCTTGTTCGGAGAGCCAAGGATTTCAACATTGTCCTCGATGATGTGGCAATTACTCATTTGTCTTATGGGATGGAGTTTTCGAGGGCCGTTGAACAGAAGCAGGTGGCGCAGCAGGAGGCTGAGAGGTCCAAGTTCGTTGTGATGAAGGCTGAGCAGGAGCGCCGCGCCGCGATCATTCGCGCCGAGGGAGAGAGTGATGCTGCCAAGCTGATTTCCGATGCAACTGCTTCGGCTGGTAATGGGTTGATTGAGCTTAGGAGGATTGAGGCTTCAAGGGAAGTGGCGGCCACGTTGGCTAAGTCCCCTAACGTGTCTTACCTTCCTGGTGGAAAGAACTTGCTTATGGCTCTTAATCCTTCCCGTTGATGATGGTAATTGGTAATACCTTGTTTTGTTGTTGTTACATTTGTGGCTTTGATTTAATTTGCTTGCATTTGTTGTCACTAGTTTGAGTCAGGGAATCAGCTTCTTTACCCAAAACAAAAGAAGCAAGTAAGGCTATGTACAATTTACCATCACCCCTAACTCCGCAAGTCGGGGAGCCTTGTGTAGCGGGTGTTTTCCCTTTAGTTAAATATTTGTATGTCTTGCCTGTTTCAATTTCAAGGGATGGTTAGGATTGTTGTGTTAGACATGGTTAACAATTGGTTGACTAGGAATGCTATCAAAACACTGTTTTTAACAACTATTTATTCAATGCTGGTCTTACTTATAGAGAGTGGGCTTAGGTTATTTTGGGATCAGGTAGAGATTTCAATTTTCAACTAATAATGGGAGTACTGATAAAGAGTATGTTAGTAGCATTTCTCTTGCTTGATTGAGAAAACCTTATGTGGACAATTGTTGATTGGCCTTCCAATCGAATTAACTGTTTTATTATTATATCAGTTTAGGCATTTACAAGTTAAGTTAGGAGGGAAAATTTTCATTACAGGAAAACTGAAGGAAATTAAGCAGTTGTCCTGTGGAGGTTATACATGGAATGTCAGAACCATTTTCTTATGATATAATAAACACATGATCATGAAATTTATCTTAGATGCATCGACGAACACTGTCCACTCAACTGTATTAAGTTATTTTGATTATATGTTAGGAGATAAACTTCCTACTGTTTGCCATTTCCACTTTTATTGGCATTATTTGGCTGTTACTTCTTGAGACCAATCCATCCCCCTTCTGCCTCTCCAGATTAAAGCAAAAATGGAAAAAAGAAAAGAAAAAAGCCTTGAAAATATATAAGCTGTTGCTTCTAGATTTTGATGTACATGTTCCTTTAGCAGCTCATCTTGATGTGATATGTTAAGTCCTGTTAAGGTCTTTTAATGTTCAGCTTTCTTGACCCAAAAGTATTTCAGCTCTGCCAAAACTCCTAACACATATCCTTTTTAATTTCAGGGCTCCATGATACGGTGTCATAGCATGCTTGGATCATTGTCTTGAGGTTCTCCTTTGTTGGAAATAAGTTTATTGTTTTTTATTTTGTAGACTCTGTCTCATCTGAGCACAATGTCATAATATTTTTTTAAAAGAAAGAGTTTTAAATGATTTTGGACCTTCATGTTTGATGATAAGTAAGCCTTTTTAGTTGCGGAGTAATAACTACTTGCAAAGTATATAAGGTGAGAGATGAAATGGGATCATTTGCTTGCATGGTTAATGCAGGTCCTTTTTTCATCAATTTACCCAAAAGTGTTTCATTTCATTATTTCATCCTGTGCTTTTGTTTCAGTTTTGTATGTCAAGTTGACTATTTTTGCATGCAAATCAGATGATAAAAATCATGAGTAATAATAATTTTGTTGTGATTTTTGAATCAGGCAATCTAACTGGATTATGTCAATGTTAACAGAAATAGCAACCTAGTCTTAGCTGCACAACAATGATGTGGTCATTATATACTTATGTGATACTTCATCATGGTTTCGGTTGGGTTTTGTATTAGAGTATTTCTATTTACACTACTACATCACACTCAAAGAAGTTAGTAGTGTCAGCATGCTATAGCGGCATAGTGTAGCGTCATGCTGCGTAGCCACGACGGAAGTGGCATTGCATATTTGTGGAGTGGACAAATCGTGGACAAATCGTGGCTGCTATGGTTAGCAAATCATTAAATCCCTGTTTTGCCCCCTTGTTTAACTACCCTTCATTCTTCGAAGAATGCTGCACTAGTTTGCTGGTCTGTTCCTTTGCACAACCTATATTTAGCAGGTGATGCATTTTCTGATTAAGCTCTTGCTTTTCCGGCAGCCCAACATGTTATCCAGCAGCCCTAGCATGATTTCTTGCAGCCCCTTAATTTCTGTTGAGTCTGCTGATCTGCTCTTCTTCCAGCTTCTATTCGTAGTCAATACTCGCAGATATGACCTTGAGATACATCTTATGTTCTGTCTTTCTTTTTCTTTTCTTTTTTTCTGTTGATTATTAATTCCAACCCCTCTTTGGTGCATCCATGGCATATTCTCAATTACAACCAGCCAACATACTAAAATATGAGAATTGACTGTTAATTATACCTTAGATTGATGTTGATTGTGTCTAGACTCTAGACTACGACCTTTGATCATTAATGATAATATGTCGTTAATTTTGATTAATTATTATATTTAGTATTTATATATAATTATTTCTTATTATCTTCGGTATAACGGCCATTGCACTATCTGCCATTCTAATATAGTGTTTTTTGGGGCCGGTTGTTTCGTGCCGATTATCCCCATGCAACTAAAAACATGATTAGATATTTAGTCTCACTCGAACTATTATGCTTGTTTGCAACCATAAGTTTTGTGAACAATTTGCTTCCAATATTTCATTTTACAAGCGCTTCTTTCTTTGTTGCCTTTTTTTATTGAGATGTATATATGTTAATCGGACTCAGATCCTGCCTATTCGCTTTCTATCCTAGTTGGAGACCTGAGAAACGTACAACTATCATTTAGGTTTAAGAAGCTAGCATTGCGTAACTTTCTCGGTATCTCATCATTTATTCTTTGTTCTTGTTTTCAGCCAAAGCTTAGCAAGAACTATTTGATACGATGGAATGCTGGTTTTAGTAGCGTTTAGTAGATGGGGAATTTTTTTATCAAGAAAATACAATTATTAGGAATAAGGTGGGAAAATGAGTTTGATAGAAAAGTTAAAAAAAAGTTGTTTGGTAGGCTAAAATTTTATTGAAAACATTGGGTTAAATTTGTTGAGTCTATGTTTGGTTGAAAGTAAAATATTGATGGGAAAATGAGTTTAAATTATGAAATAACCCTTAATATTTTCCTAATAAAGTAATCGTTAGTTTATGTATCTCTGTCTTTTTTCTCTGTCTCTGGTTTCAAATTCTCTCTCCGTCTTTGTCTTCTCTCTTCGTTTCTGGGGAAAAAATAATTTCATACCAAAAAAGAAGAGTGTGTGGGAACATGCAAAACCACTTGCGATGACTGTTTGGAGATCTTGTGTGCAACCTAGAAACGGAAAAATGAGTTTTTATAGTGATAGCTTATGGATTTGGTAAGGGAGTCTCACTTTCGCGCTAGGTTAGGAGAGAGTATTTTTATCCGGTCTTTCGTCCTTTATTTTGCATTTAGTTGGTTATCATAAAATACCACATTCGAAGTGAGTATCTTGCACAGTATTTTTCGTCAATTTTTTCACACAATTGAGAAACGCTGGTCAATTAAGTTTGCTAGGAAAATTTTGTAATCTCTTTTATCAAATATGGACAACACATAAAACTAATCTTAGATGTCTGAGTATCTCACAAAAAGCTCCTACCAAACACTACCTTAGTTTATGCATAGATTGAATGGATATGAATGTAACGAAGAAATCCAAAGAGTTGGATGAGATTGATATTGTTCATTAATTGATAGGCTCAAATGAGTATTCGCTCGTGAACAAAGTGATTCTGACATTAGGCTTGGTTAAGCCATGGTTGAATATTGAGAAGGAAAATGCAACATATCGAGAATTTTTTTGGCCAAATTTTTTGACAAAGTTTGTACGTTTATTGACTCTGATAAATTAACTTGGTTTTACCTTTTTAACTTATTTAACAGCTAATTGACAATTGTAAATAATGGCTGGTAAGCAATTTTTCTGACAAGTATTGATTGAATTTCTTGGGAATTGCTATGGATGAATGAAACTTTCTTACTAGGTTAAGCTTCTTGCTGCATTTTAATAAAAATATTTAGTGATCTGGAATAGTCTTAAATTTGGGAATGCTGAGTGGGTTGTTTGATTGGCTCATGAAGCTATATTTCAAATGTCAAAAGCAAAGCTCGTGAGCCTATTGGTTTAATGTTGAGAACGCAATATTTTTTTTTCCGGTATTTGTTCAAATTTTTTTGCTACAGCTTCATTGATTATCTAATTAATCTGGTTCCAGCACCTCTCTCGAAATTATTATTTTTTATTCCCAATACTTGAACTTGAGATACCTGATTAAAAGAAATAACTTCCTTACCATTTAACCAATGATTATTAGATGAATTTGATCTAACTTAGAATCACTATAAACATGTCATATCGTATTCTTGTATCTGGTATAAACATGAATAAATGGCCTTTCTTTATTTTTAAATGGAAACCGTGCAATAGTAAAGATGAAATTGTGCTGGTTGCTTAGTGGTTTCCTTGTTCTTTTTAGTGTTAATAATAATATGAACCCCTTTCTTTGATTAGGTGCAAAATGGAAGAGATAATCCATTGTGTGAAAACTACATTTGCTAAAATTGCTCACATTCTATAATAATTCAAACAATTAAATTGAGTAATTAGGAACTACTTAATGGTTAAAAGAATTTGATTAAGTGAAGAATCTAATTATGCAATTTAAGTCACTTTTCGTGGTTAAGGTGCAAATAATGAAAGTTTTGAGATAAAAATATAATTAAGCAAAAATTACCTAAAACATAGAAATGATTTAGTGAAAAAGCTATTTCATAAATTTTGTGAGTTTAAAACACATGTTGGAGATGCTAAGTCATTGGTTAGAAGAAAATTAAATTGAAGGCTGAATGAGTCATTTGCTAATTAAAGCTTTGACTAAAGTCAAAGTTGCATAAAAGTCACTAAAACATGTTTATTTCCCTTCATATTTTCATCTCCATCGTGAACTTTCTTCTTCCTTGGCCGAACCACCATATCTTCGAAGCTTGAAAAACCCACTTGTGATTTAGCTATAGAAATGGCTAGTTTCCTTCATGAAAAGTGTTAAGCTATGCATAGAAAGTGATGTCCACCTATTATTTTCCTCCTAGAAGCGTTATGTAGGAAGAAAATTCATTCCTTAGTGTGCGGCACCATTTTGTTTTTGGTGTTGTAAGAGTGTTTACTCACTTGGAAGCTTGCAAAGTCTTCATTCCACACTTAATTGAAGCTTTGAGGTAAAAATCTGCCACTTCACTTGAGATTTCTTGAACATATGATAACTTAGGTTTTAAGAAATATTGAATTTCATAGTTCATGAATTGCAAGTGGATTTTGATAATGGTTTTATGTGTGCTTGATATTGTAGAGTTGAACTAGTGGTGTGTTGGTGGAAGATAAATCATTAGAGCCTTCCATTGGTCAGAGTTTTGATTCTTGAATCTCTCAAGAATAGGGTGAGTTGTTGAACTTGAGTTCTTAGTGAAATCATAGCTACTATCTTGATGATTGATCTAATATGTATTATTGATTACACTCACATCTTTAGAATAGGTGCTCTTAGTGTGGAAATTGGTGGTTTGAACTCTTAGACACAAAGAGAATGAGAGCTTTGGAGGATACACTTCAAGAGGTAAATACTTGTATTTTGGGGATTTAACCATTTTGGTGTTCCACCATGCTCCTTTGGAGTTATTGTAACTCCTTATTTGTAACCAGTTTGTTAACATTGATTATGGCATTAACTTCAATCAAAATCAGAGTAATTAAAGCGGAAAATGCGAATAAACTTTTTACTTTTCTCAATAAATTAATTTTATACTCCGTTATTTCAATTCCTTACATATTAGTCATACAATAATTAAACGTGTCTCACAATAGCCTACAAACCCATAACAAAGTGGCCCACATAGGCCAAGAAGGTTAAAACTTAATATCAAAGTGCAGGTGCAGTGCGCTTTAGTGTGCGCATAAGGTATTTTGCTTCCCATAGAGCGATTTAGAGCACTTATTGTTGTGCAATTTGCAATCAATTAAATCAATCACACAAATATGCAAGTGCACGTGTCACAAGTAATAAAGGGATGTGTGAGTCCAAGTATCGTTCCCACGGAGATAAGTGTTAAGTAATAATTATTTAGGTGAAGAAAGTGAGTAAAATGATTGATTGTGATGGTTGGTTTGGTAAAATAAAAGACAACTAATAATAAGAAAACAAGAAACTAAAATAATAGGTATTAAGATGATGGATGAGATATAGGTCAGGATCAATTTCCCTGATACAACAATACTGATCTGATGCTTTAACGATGCTATGTCAATGCTAACTAGTAACCGAACACTAAGGTATGCTGGGGCTTTTGGCCAACCTAACATATATACCCAACAACTAATTCCCACATCTCTATGGCAAAACTAATCACTGAATTTGTTCAAGTTCAAGTTCTAGGCTATGTGGTGTGAATGATCTCTCTACCCACAACTTAATCAAGTTAAATTAACCTAATTAATCCACACAATTCAACAAGGGTTTGGATTCGGAAACCTCTCGGCCTCAACCTCCTCAATATCACATATGTATCTCTCGACATTCACACATAAATAAGATTAAGAAAACTCGTTGAATAACTAATTAAACATTAACATAAATAAAGTTTAGGCATATATATCAATGTTACAGCATAGGTACTTTATCACCTAACCTATGGAGCAATTTAGCTCATAATGGAATAAAATAAAACAGAAAAAAGAAAGAAAGAATTCATTGGAAAACAGAAAAGAAGATGAAAACGAATGCTGCAGGAAGACGTCGTCACTGCCTTGCTCCAGCACTGCTCTTCCTCCTCCAAGAACCTCACTTCTCTCTCTAAAATGTTCCTTCTTGCTTCTGACCTCCACCTCACTGTGTTTCGAACTGTTTCTCTGTTGTTGTTACTCGTGGGGGAGCTTTATTAAATAGGAAAAATGGTTGGGCAATTGGGCTTTTGGGTTAAGAGTTATAATCCATGAATCTTGTTGTTGCAGCCTTATCGTATCCCTAGATTCTTGGGCTGTTGGCACTTGTTGGATAAAATCTTGATCTTCTTGGAATATTTGTGCCAATGTTGTTGTTGACCGAATAGGAGCTGAGTTTGTTGTCCTTGATCCTTGGGGTTTTTGGATTTGTTGGCGCTTAATTGGATAAGATCTTTATCTTCTTGGATTTCTTGTTCCAATGTTGTTGACCGAATCAAGGTTGTTGTCCTTGTTCTTTGGGATTTGGATAAGATTCAATCTTTGAATTTGTCTTTGACTCTTGTGATTTCTGAATTAAATCTTCAGAAACTTTCCTTGCTTGCTGGTGCATTGTTAGGGAATAACTAACTTTTGAAATTCAAAAGTTCGGTTGTCCCTTTGTCCACGCTGTCATGCTGTAGCGCTTGCTATATCATTACTTCGTCAGCTTCTCTGCTACAGCATTCCTACGTCAATTTTCCCTGCGAAGACAAACATTCAACAAGTCATCTTTTCTTACACAAAATCAAGTGATATTGTCTCATTTTCCATACTTAGTCATCTCAAAGCACTTAATCATGAATATGAAATAATTAACTCAATTAACATGCAAAGAGGTCAACTTATATGGAATTTATGCAGCAAATTCATCATAAAAATAACAAATTAACTCTCATTTGGGAGAGTTATCACTTATATGAGTAATTACTGCCTCAAATTTTCTAGAGCGCATTTAGCGCCATGGTGTAAGTGCTTTAGCACGTGCCAATGAATCAATTATACTGCTCCACCCGAGAGAAATGACATTTTTAGGCCACTTAAGCGCGCATTTTAGAACAGGGAAATGTTCTTTTGAGGCATTGGACCCCCATTTCAAGAATCAAAACACCATTAAGGTACCTAATAGACTAAATATAATAACAACAACATATTCAACCATATTTATATGCATTTCATGAATGGATCATATTTGTTAGGCATCAAGTCATTGATTAATTTCCATACCTTTATAGTAATTCATATGATTATCATACAAGATAATAAATGTCAAACATACATCATTCGTGGACTTCTCATTATCTCATAGCAACTCAAGTTGCAACAAAGGCATACAAGCCACAAATTTACATTGTATTCTTTACATAACCATCCAGAATGACAAATCAAGATATACAATTCTCATTGTGTTTAAGATTACAAAATGTGGTACAATGGTTCTCCCATTGACATAAATACATGTATGACCAAACAATACTTCCTCATAACATGATGTATATCAAAATGGGTCCTAACATGCTTCTAAGTCAAAAGGTTTAAAAATCATGATATCATAGCATTAGTACTCAATCTGGCCTCTTGCCAAGAGACGTCTCATCTCAACCACTCAGTGTACCTGAAATATAATCCCCAACGATGTGAGATACAATCTCAGTAAACTCAAGGTCCTTGTAGACTTCTCTAACCCTTGAGCTCACTTCCAATATATGCAGGCATCAAAATAGCATTATGCAATATATATACACATCAGTTAGTATATAACTATACATATCACAAGAGCCATTCCATTGGCTAACTTGTCAACACTGTAATGCAGCTTATATGTCACTTCCGAGAGAAGTCCCTATGGGCTCCTCCTTTTAGGTTTAAACCACTTGAAATTTGCTCCACATAACTCTGGTCTCAAGGGAAGTCCATATCTCATAATCTACTGACCAAAAAATCTCATAATCATGTATTTATAGAAAGCATATCTTATCACCATAAGCTACAATACTCATTTCAACAACCAATGCATATCAAGTTATAAAACCATTACTCCTCATGGAGTATGATGGAACAACAAAGGAAAATAATTCCCAAGGTCCAAGAGTTTACCTCTTGACAATGTGCTATAGCATTTTTCTTATCCAAGCCTTCCTCTACTCAAAGGGTCAATTTCACACTTATCAATCAAATACACAACCTATATAAAAGGTGTGCACTCAATCAATGACACATATAATATATAGTAATTAACTTAAAGTCTACATGTCCATCAAGTTAATATATATCCCATAGCTCCAAGTTATGAATTTAGGGAAACTTACCCAATCTTTAGAACTCTAAGAACCCCATCCCTTAGCTCAAGGTTGGTTCAAACCAATCAACCATAATCCTACCCAACACAATCAAGGTTTCAAGCTCCAATTCATCAAGTTCATATACAAATTCAAAATCCCCAATTTTCATAATACAAACCCTAACCCCATATCATAAAAACCCAAGAAACCCAAAGAAAACTACCAAAGATCACCTCTAATTCACCAAAGGCTTGGAGAATCACAACTTACAAGCTTTTAGAGTGTGTAAAACTCCCTCCTTTGCTCTAATCCTTGAGGAATCCAAAAATGGGTTGGGAGGGAAAATGGTTTTCCTTTTGAGCTTCAAGCTTTACAAAATGTAGGGCTTTAGGTTTTTGTGGTGAATCAAGTGGGGGTTGGTGGTTTCGAGCTTCAAGAAGTCAAGAGGCAATAATAGAGATTAGCAAACTTGGAAGGGGAAAGAGGAGGTGGTCGACGATGGTAGAGAGAAAGAGAGGAAGTGAGAGTGTAAAAATGTGAGGTGATGAGAGATGACAGAGGGTGTGACATAGGTTTTAGAAATATCTTGAGGAGAAATGTTTGTTTCACCCCTGACTCCATTCCCTTATCACAACACTACACTTATCTTTACAATTAAAGTCTTAATGAATTGGGTCTAAGTAAATTTTGTCCCATACTTGATTTATTTTGGGTATCACTCACTTTGCGAAATTGGCATTTAAACCCAACACTATTATTATTTACATTTTTGCTTTGAAAAGTGATTAAATTCTAAACTGGATATTTTCATCCTAATTAACCCTCATTATATATTAACTCTCTAATTAATGCTATTTAATTATTAGAGTTATTATAGTTATGGTTATGATTGGATAATTGATTGAATGTTAGATATGTGGTATAATTGCATTCATACAAAGTTGTTGTATCATTGGTGGATGGACCAATGGTCAAGCAGTAAGGGCTAGATTGTATAAATAGTAAAATGACTAATATACAGTTGAAGCTTGTGAGATGATTGATTGCTTAGTTCTTGGCCAACTGAACTCATACATGGACTTAAAAAATTATAATACCCCTAACTTAAACATTTAATTAATTACCTGCAATTAAGTAATTAAGTAGGTATAAGTGGGTAGAATTAAGTAAGAGGCTAAAATTATTGAGTTAAGGGCATTTTTGAGGTCAAAAGTGCAGTTAGTGAAAATTAAGAGGTAAAAATGTGTGTAGGAAAAAGTACCCAAAAATATAAAAGTAAAAGTAAAAATATTCCTAGAAAAATATTCCAGACCTTTGGGTAAAGTTTGAAAGAGAACCGAGTTAAATTGATAGATGAGTTATTACCCAATTGAATTGAACTTAGCTATGTTAAGTTGAAAAACAAGGAAAAGAGCCCCCCCATTTCTTTATCTTCTTCGACGGACAAGCAAGGGAAAGAAGGAGAGTCATTTGTGAACCCAAAACCCTAACTTCCTCATTTCTCATCCAAACCAAACCATTCCAAAATCAATATTGCTTCAAATCTTTCCCTCTTTGTGAACCCAAAACCCTAACTTCCCCATTTCTCATCCAAACCAAACCATTTCAAAGCCAATATTGCTTCAAATCTTTTCCTCTTTGTGAATCCAATTTTAGTTTTGAGTGGGAAGCTTTGTGGAGAAAGATATCTCCTTCCCAAGAATTCGATCAACTTGGTGATTGAAAGAGTTCGAGGGCATTTTCATCCATGGGAGCTTAGGAGACCTCTATTCCTTGGTGTGTGACCTATTGTGGTAAGTTTCCACTTCTCCAACCTAGTTTTCATGGAATTTTCTAGAGGTTAAAGACAATGAATAGTGTTTTTATGGGTTTTATGAGTTTGAGTAAGATTGAGGCTAAATTCCTTTGAAAATGTTGTGAGGAATGATAATTAAATAGTAGAAATGAGTTTAGATTGTCATTTTAGTATAATTTGATATTTAGAGAAATCTACGCTTGAAATTAAGGATTTTCTTGCATTGTTAGCCTTGGTTGATTGTATGTTTGATGGTGTCCCTTGTATGGCTAGGATTAAAGCAAGTGGACCAAGTGGAGTGACCAATCCTTGTGGTTATGTTCAATTGAGAAAAGGAAAGCTTTGAGGAAAGTTCAAGAGCAAGGTAAACCTTCAGACTTTAGGGTTGATCCCTTTGAATGTTCCACTATACTGCATTGAGGAGGAATGTTTTATGAGATGTGATAGGTAATGATGATAGTAATTGTATGCCCATGCATTGATTCATGCATTGATAAAAGTTATGATTGCTTAAGATTATTTATTGATGTTTGATTGTTTAAGAGTTATTGAGGAATGGTTGATAGATGTAAAATAATGAATGAGGTAATGGTTGAGGATTTGGGTTGAGGTTATGTTGATAGTTGAGAGATGAAGTAGTGACTGATAAATGAGAAAGGAATGAATAGTCCTTGGATCAGTCCAATGAATGTAACTAATATAATGGATGGTGGTCTTCCTTGGAGCCATCCCCAAGGGAAACTCCTTGTGGTTATTACTCGAGAGGAACAGCCCTTGAGGACCCTTCTTAAAGACATTATGCCAGTAAGGACTTCCCCTAGAAACAACCCTATGAGGATCTTCAGGTGGTTTGTCTTATCCTTGGAAATAGCCCTGTTACGGATCTCTCTTGGAAGTGCTTAATATTATAATGAGGATGATTGGTAGGGACTTCCCTTGGAAACAGCTCTATGTGGATCTCCATGTGATAAGAGCCTAAGAAAAACAGTCCTCGAGGATCTCTCTTGGAAGCCCTAGTGTGAGATTATGGACTTCCCTTGAAAATAGCCTTATGCGGATCTCCTTGTGGTGAGCACCTAAGAGAAACAACCCTTGAGGATCTCTCTTGGAAGTCCATGTGATGTTTATGGATAAGAATGTGTTAAGTTATTATTATTATATGTTCACCGAAAGTGAACCTTTGGGTGGAGTGATCTCCAAAGAACCCTAGTTTACTGTGATATATTCGTATATCTCATCCCGTATTATGGGGCATCATTTTGAGTTGCATGTCATTTAGAATTGTTATATGTATTGATTTTGAGGCCATAGTGTAACGCCTGGAAACTTACAGGGATCAATGATTGTCCCCACGCACTAACACAAGACTTTCCAGTATGCTTTGTTTTCATTCGCACACCTCCCGGGAAAACTTCCCAGGAGGTCACCCGTCCCAGAAATACTGCAAGTCAAGCACGCTTAACTATGGAGTTCTTCCGTTCTGGGCTACTGAAAAGTAGATGCTTCTTGTTAGTTTAGGTAGTACCAATTAATTCTTATAAGCTATCCCAAACTGTGCAGTCTCATACCTGCACAGAATTTGGAATCCCTCTCTTTCGGGTGTCGATTCGATTCATTTATGTAACCCCCCGCTGGAATCCTGTCAGGAGCTGCTCCTTGTCCATGCCCTTTCGTACTGGCGATCACTCATCGCCCTCATCAGCGCTCGGGATGTTACATGCCCACCAGCTTTTGCCTGGTTCGTCCTTGAACCACACCGTACAGGGAGAGAGGCCATGCTCTGATACCACTTGTAACGCCTGACAACTTGCAAGGATCAACGACTGTCTCCACACACTAACACAAGACTTTCCAGCGTTCTTTGTCGTCACTCGCACACTTCCTTGGAAAACTTTCCAGGAGGTCACTCATCCTAGAATTACTACAAGTCAAACACGCTTAATTATGGAGTTCTTCCGTTCCGGCTACTGAAAAGTAGATGCATCTTGTTAGTATAGGTAATACCAATTAATTCTTATAAGCTATCCCAAACTGTGCGGTCTCATACCCGCACAGACTTTGGAATCCCTCTCTTTCGGGGGTCGATTCGATTCATTCATGTAACCCCCTGCTGGAAGCCTGTCAGCAGCTGCTCCTTGTCCATGCCCTTTCGCACCGGCGATCACTCCCCGCCCTCGTCAGCGCTCGAGATGTTACACATAGGATGAATTTTGGAGGACTTAGTGCATGATCATTGTAGTAGTAATTGGTAAATGGTATATGGCTAATTGCTTTCATTATGTTTATTTTGGTAGCTAAGTCCTTTGGCAGGTATATGAAATTTGGAAGAACATTGATGTAATTGAGACATTGATGTAATTGAGACATTTATATATTGATGAATATGTAGTTATGTTTATCATTTTGATTTGTATAATGACTTGGAAAATTGTTTGTGGGATGTAGGTGCCATATGGTGTGTGACTATGGTGTTAGTATATGGATGTCCTAGAGACAATCTTTTGATTAGATTAGGACATTCAATTCTTTTTCCTTGATTTCTCACACAAACAACCACCAAAATACAAAGTGTTATGCATGAAACTTTAAGTAGAAATCATTGTGAATCCATTCTATCCATTTGTTTGGGCTGAAAAGGTTTGTGTGAAGAGCTCTCTCATTCTCAATTTTGGTCACTATTCATCCTAGAGAGAAGTGAATTTTCTGGGTGGAACCAAGCTTGGGTTTTGTCCTCCAAGTCTTGTATAGGTGATTTGAGGTAAGAGATCCTCATTCCATTGGTTTAAATGTCATGATTTAAGTTTTGAATACTATGAGCACTTTTTGTGAAATGTTATTGAGTTTGAAAATTAAAATTTATGATGAATTAGAGTTGTTAATGAAGTTAAGATGTGATATGAACATGTATATGTGTTTAAAGTTTGAAAAATTCCCATAAATCCCTCACATTAGGTTCAGCCATGGGGTTAAAAATATGCACACCAATTTTTTGTAAAATTTCCCAAGAGGAATCTTAAAATTAGAATTAAAACTATGATGAATTAAATGAAAAATGAGTTGCTAAATTCTGAAAATTTTAGATATGTACCTCTAACTTTTGAGGGTGATATCTCCCTCATCCCTTGGTCAAATGAGACTCATGATACTTCATTTTAAATCTTGAGATGTCATCTATATTTACCTAAAATTTAAGATAATTATGTATTGGTTTTGTCTCCAAAGTCAAATTGAGTATTGACTGCCCAAAAATCACGAAGTGTAGGGGCAATTCCAGAGGTCCAACTTCAAAAATTCATTTCTCTCTCATTACTTACCCAAATTAAGATTATGATACCTAGAATTAAATCCCAAGGTGTATAATACATCATATCAAAATTTGATAGAAATTAGACTTTTGGAACTCTCACAGGGACAAAAACCGTGAGGGAGGTTGGAATCCCCTGCACTGCCTAAAAACAGATTTGTGAGTTGACTTCCAAAAATCATAGCTTGAGCTATGTTGCTCTGATTAAGGTGTATGATACCTTGTTGGAAAACTTAGGAAGTCTAGAATAGCATGCTAAAATATTGGAATTTATCAATATATAAATCATTCCCAGCTTTAGTTTGAATGAAGGTAACTCAAGTTGGAAAATTATAAAAACACTAAATTGGGCCTTATGGGTGATGGGAACCACTTGGGTATATTAGATAAGTGTTGTAAACCTTTGGTTGGATTAGATAAAAAAGAAAAATTGGTTATGACTTGTGTGTATGGCATATAATTGGCATAAGCTTTGTAAGTACATATGAAAGCAATCAAGTGTGTGTGTATTGTATAATTACATTGCATTATATCACTTATTGAGTTGTTTTAAATTCTTTCTCTAGGTGTGCCTAAGGACTGTGAGCATTTGCATTCCTTTGGAGCAAGATAAGTAGCTTGTTCTCCAAGTAAGCAAATTGTTAAGCTCCAAGAGGTAAGTGATGCTCACCGGCAAGTGTACTGATCGCACAAGTAATACAGTGATAAGAAAAGTATCGTCTCCACAGGGATTGTGATCGAATATCAAATAATCGTTCCTTTTAAGACGGAAAGAATTCAAATAGGTGTGAAAAATGTTGTTGATTTGATTAAAAATAAGAACTAAAGGCAAGAACATATTTTTAGGGTTTTTGTTATGAAAAATAAAACAGAGATTGGTTTTATAAAATATGAGAAAACATTGTAGCTAGAGTGCACTCACCAAATGATCCCCGCTTCTTACTCTGGATTGATTTAAAATACTCATTTAAATAAATACTCAGATAATTTATCATCTAAAAATATTACGTAGTTAACCCTCAATTCCTTGCAAGGTTAACCCTTCAACCCTAATTGGAACCCCAATTCCTTGCAATGTGCCTCATGGAATTAAGCAATGAACACGATAAATTAAGCATCTGCAATCAAATATACGTATATTCCTAGCACGCATACAAATTGTTACCCTACTCCCTTTCAAGATCAAAACCCCAATATTCCTATCTAGGGTTTTAACCCTCAAACTATCATCAACTATTAGATTGATCAGTTCTAACAAAGAGGATAGAAATTACGCACAGAGTAGAGATAAATGTAAATATATGAACGAGTAAAAATAAATCAATCCGTTGTAACAAGGGTTCACATAGGGATTGTGACCCTAACTACAATAAAAAGAACTAGCCAACCATTGTCATGGCTGATCTATCAATATTCAACATAAACTGGAAGAATTACAAAAATGGAAGAATACAGATGAACAAGATCTTTCTTCTCTGAGCACGACGGTTTCTTCTCCAAACAAAAAGCTCCTAATTCTGTGCTGAGCATCCTTTATATAGGCCCAACTTTCTTCTTCCAAATTTGTCCTTGTAAAACACGGTGCTTGTAAATTCGCAAACTGGCGCGGGTCCGCTCCAGATCTCTGGTCATTGGCCCTGCAAAGTGGCGCTGACTTGTGCCAGTGTGGCGCTAAGTTGCGCCACTTCTCTGGAATTTTGGCCGAAGCAATCATTATGTAACATGGAACTTCCAACCGTGTGGATTTGCGCCACCAAGCTTTTTACACTTTCGTATTTTCCACCTCTTCTTCCTATACAAACGAACAAATAAGTGAGAAATGTCATTGAGATGAAAAAGTCAATATAATAAGCAAATATGTATAAAAAATGCTCTTTTATGACTTAATTCGCATCTTTTTTAGCCTGGAAAACTACATCTGCCAGAGGCACATCAAATCATTCCCAGATTTAAACGTTGTTGTCCCTAGCAATGTACAAGACTCAATCCAGAAAACAATCAATTCATCCAGCATAACAATACATAGACACTCTCAGACACAATATGTTGTGCATGACTAACC